TGGATAAATGTCAGGGTCACGGTGGATAGCGTATACAGGAATGAAGATCCTGGTGTCCTTTGGAACTGTGAGTTTCAGGTTTTCGAAGGTGTAGTCTTCCGTACATTTTCTCATGATGACCGTCACCGGCGGATATTTTCGTAATGTCTCTGAAAGAAAGAAAGAATTTCTATTGAAATATCCGATATTTCGGGTGACTGCGTCAATTTGTTATTTACTATGTTGTTAATGGATCATCTGTGCGTTTGTGAAAAAAATTTTAAAGCGTCAGACGAGAATGTCACGATTTCTTGAATTTTTCAAATCTAATCCCAAGCTCTCTAGATCAAATCGCGATGGAAAAATACTCAACATACAAATCTATCGTAGATTCGGTCACGAAAAAGAATTGTTCAATGTTTTTTACTACACTGTGACAATTTGTAGAATTTTCGAGAAGAACAGTGTCGTAATTTTCTCATTTACATTCTCAGCTCACGTAATTCAAAAATAAAGGGACAAACGAATAAAAGTAAAAGCTTCAAGCTTTAGAATGAGCCCAAGTTTACGAAATTTCAATAATTTCAATATTGATGTAATGTTATGAATATTAATGTAAAATGTATGATGTTCGATGGATGAAAGAAATCCATGCGACTGTGTACACACACATACACACACCTTTAAACACAGCGTCTAAAATTGCCATCTTCTTAATATTTTCATACTGCCATTCGCCGTTAGTCAACTCGTAATATTCCCTGATCTCGTTTCGCAATTTATCCTGTACATCTTGATGTTGCGCTAATTCGTAAAGGGCAGTAGCTATCGCTGACGAAGAAGTTTCGAAGCCAGCCATGAAGAAAACAAACGCTTGCGCGACCAGAAATGATGTCGTTAATTCTGAGAAGTGGAAGCGAAATTTCTTTCATTACGTACGAAAATGCAAAGTGTTGTTTTTCTTCTCAAGTTATGTGACTTAACCTGTTGACGCATACCTACTCGTGCGAGAAAGTTTTTAAATTTGAAGAATTACAGGTTAAGAAATTTTGGAATTCCACTGAGAATTTGAACAAAATTCATTGATATTACCGACGATATATTTAAACGTTTATAATTTCTTTATTAAATATAATAATATAAATTTTGAGACAAATCTAATAAATCTGTTAAGTGATTTTTCTTCACGTGTTCGGCCTTTTTTTCTACAAAGAAGCTATGAATGTTTATATTTCATCAATAATATCAACAAGTTTGAGCAAGAATATTATTGATTTTCCAAAGAAAAAAAATCAACTACCATATCGTCGTAATTTAATTCAATTCAATTCAATCCATAAAAATATAATAAAATAAAATATAATTAGTAAAAGAAAATAAAATGAAAAACCGGATAGACACGTACCGATGTTCATCTTCTCAGGATGATCCTGTAGATCCATCAAGGTATTAATAAAATCCGGTCTAACGATGTTGTTCTTCCTCCTGTGCTCTATCATGTCCATAACAGCATTCGTGAAGAAGATCGTTGTGTCGTCCTTTGGCAGTACGTAGCCCAAGAGAGTGTAGAATCTCGGGAAACCCTCGCGAAATCTGTGTTTCAACACTTGTTTCAGACCAGGCCCGAAGAACTCCTTCCCTATCTCGCGAAATCTAGACTGGGCCTTCGACATGGCGTTCGTTTCAACTCCGAACGCACAGCTCGCTATTACGTCGGTAGTGAATCTGGCGGCCACTTCTCGTACCTCGATGCATTCCCTTTCCGATACCAACGTCTCCATGTATTTCTCGAGAGTGTTGGAACAATCGAGGATCAAAGAAAACATGCCTTTCAGCTTGCCGGATGTGAATATCGGTGACAGTCTCGTCCTCAGTGGCCGCCATCTTTCTGGCTCCAGGGAAAACATGTGCTGAGAAAGTGGTTCTGTCTGCGTTGAGAAAAATATGAACAATCAGAACAATATGAATAATCAGTACATCTATTTCACTTGCATTATAGATACAAAAGCTCTTTCATTTAATCTCAACGTATAAGGTGCTCATGCTATCCACGTATGTACATGTACACAAGTTTTCAAGCACTTTTGATAATGCAATGAAAAAATATAAGTATTACGCATTAATTTTCCGTGTATTGATTGATTTTCCTAATAAATTATTAATGTTGTCTTTCAACAATTATAATTATTTTAGTGCAAGTAATTTTTCATTGATTCTTATTTTGATAAATAGAAATTCCTATCTAAAAAAAAAACAAAAAGTATTTCAATAATTCTTACTATTAGAATTTGTTGTTGGCGATATGTATGTTAGTCTTAAAAATTTATCTATAAATAATTTCTCATACGAATGTTCCTGAATCAGATTCAAATTTTTGTCCTCAAGATTATTCATAGGTCACAGTATTCAACAAGATTGTAATCTTGACTTCTTATCAAAAGGAGGACTTTTTACTGCTGCAATTTGTAGTCGATACAAAACTAATTAACTTTTGTTTGTAACATTTTAGATACGTACATGTTTAAATATGTAACATTTTAGATACGTCTCAATTATTACTATTATTACAATTTATTATTTATTATTTATTATTAATTACATACAACTGAAATAAATTTTATTCACTTTATCGCACGTATGATATTGTACACGCGTTAGAAAATGTCTAACATTATGTATAAATATCGTGTCCCTTTAAATATGTCAATATTTCAGAAACGATACGATTTTAACCGGCAAATTAATTAATATACATACAAGGTTCAAAACATTTCCTTTTCCATTTAAAATATTCATAATTTGATATCTAGATCTAAATCTCTAGATATTGTATCTACATCTCTGTGATTGATAGTATATCAAATTATTCTCTCACATATTTACCTTCTCGTTTATATGAATTCCACGATAAGCGAATTTGGAGAAGTCCTTAATAAGGACGGTTTTGATCAAATCAGGATCATTTATTACCAGAACATTATCTGCTCGCAAATACAAGCCAAACACGGGCTCGTGTTTGTACTGTTTGTAAAACTTCGCCATCTGATCGCCCAACGATGTTCTTCCAATTACCATAGGGAAAAAATTGCCGAATATGAAGAACGGCTTGGGTCCGGGTATATTCTTCTTTTCCCAGAATGTTGATGACTGTAGGAAGTAGTAAAGCACGAGAAAAAGCGCGACTAATCCGCAAAGAACCTCGAAGGCCGCCATTTCATAAAAGTTTTCTCAAAATCTTCAGGAATCGAAGATCTACTCGCAAAAAAAAGATAGAGAATATTTTACAATCGTCGTTTGTAACTCCTTTATAGCTCTCTACAACATTATATACTATACAACTTGAAATATGTTTTCAAAATTTTATTTTCCTTCGATTATTAATGCAATTTTATTAAGTGACGCATTTATGATAGATTTATTAATTTCTAATTCTCAGTACTTTTATTACTTCTATTACTTAATAATATCTATTATATATTTGTATGTGAATTTGTTCATTGGATGTTTACCTAAATAACTACAATTTACTAGTAATCAAAATTAATAATTAATAATTGAAGTAAATGAAATTCTATTCACAGAGGGTTAACTCGCGACTTTAATTGCACAATTTGTATATATGTAGTTTATTAAATTTGCTCCAATTGAAATATTTACATTCTATTAATACTAACTGATTATAACAAGATGTCAAAATACAAAAGTAATGTATACTGATAGATATAAAATTCTCAATCAGTTGTAAAATTTAGATATAAAATATAATCAGTCACGTTATTCCACGTTTGTGCTGACACAGAATACTTATTGTTAGATATTACTCGCGGAATATTCCGTTTCGTTATCACGTTTTCTAATTTTATAGCACAAATCTTCAAGCACATCTTCTGTTCTTGAGAATCACTCGTTGCAGAGAAACATTGACCACTTGACTAATATTTCCACAAATACCATATGAATTTCCGATTTTATGAATTTTGTATAAAGGAAACAAATAAAATAAGCAAAATAAATTACAAATAAAGAAGGAGATTAAAAGAAACTTTCCTACAAATAAAGAAGGAAATTAAAACACTGAAGTTCCAAGAGCAAATACATACATGGAATACTGGATTAAATTCAGTTCTTCAACCGTCTAATGCAACCACCCAAGACGATCGAAAACGAACTGATCTTGTTATTGATTGCATGAAATTATAAATACTTCTTAAACTATCAGTCACTCCGCTGATAGCTATCTTTGACTTTGATAAATATAATAAATAATTAATTGATCTGACGTTAAAACTACACGATAAGATAAAAAAAAAAATTGTGTTTCGATAAAGAATTATACGTGTAATTTGAATTGTTCTACTTCCAATTATTGCGACTCTCGCGATAAAATTTTCGCAATAAAAATGATAAATTAAGCCATTTTTATTAATTTCGATAAAAAAACAATCAAAAAATGAATACATTGTATATAAGATTTTCTTGCCTTAATCCAAGAACAAAAAGTGTAAGCATATTTCCACGATTTTGCCATACATTTGCTATTTCTATTCTATTTCCTCATGTGAAATTCACTTTTAAGAATTCTTGTGATATAGCAAGTATTGATACCAAAAGAATACAAGTGATCTCTATTATTATAATACAATTTCAAATTGTCAATCCAGCGTTTAAAACTCGTTTACTCTTTACATGTAGGAAATTTATAATATAGATATGCAATTTATAATAAGATGCATACTAATTATATTAGATGTTAAATTAAATTTTAAGTTAAAATAAATTTATATGGTATAAATTATGATACATATGAATATAATAATGGTTTAATATTTTACTCATGTTATATTAAATTACATTAGATGATTAAATTTATATGCTGCCAATTATACTAAATTAATTTTTTAATTTACCCATACACATTTGAAGAGGCATAATATTTTGAGATTTGTTCATTAAATACAAGAATGACGTCTGTTCAAAAATGACGAAAACGCGAAATCATGTTAATTTTCGTTAAAATTATATTTAAATAAATAATAGATTGAACAATCAACATTCGCTGAAATTTATCACACATTAACCACAATCTTCTTCTCAATTAAAAGTTCGAATTTCTAAAATTTTATTTCCGGAAAATCAGATATTAAATGGTACTAAATAATATCTTGACATTATACTAATAAAATTCTGACATTATTCTGATGTTATACATTGGTAATCGGTTACTATTTTTCTTGAAATTTAAGCTTTTAGTAAGAAAATATTGTCTAATCAAGTTTTTTCTTCTCATTATCTTCAAATGCATTAATGTCCTTGATACTTTCAGTTAATTAAGCTTTCTTTTCAGTCAATAATTACATTACGATTTAGCCTACTCGATCAATACTTCGATCAATACTCTCAAGTAGGATTTGAGTTAAAAATTACTGTTTAGTCTTCATTAATAATAATTATTGAAACATAGTTATTTATTCGTACATAATTAGAGATCATGAATGAAAAGAGATCATATGGATTGGTTTCAAAGTCATTTTCATTCAACAGAATATATATTCAATAGTACTATATATATATATATACATCCGATAGAGTACTATAGTATGCATAGGTAGTATTCAGTAATAGGTATGTATTACAATGATGTGTTGCGTTGGTAGTGCGTCTGAAGTTTCTTTGTGCAGTATGAATTAATTCTTCATTAATAAGGTGTTTTACACATATATTTTTTATATAATATAATTTATTATTAAAGTTATTTATTTAATGAAAACATATGTACATTATATCACGCTTTTAATTTAGAATTTAATGTAGAATTGAAGGTTATGTATTTCTGTGTTTATGTTATCTAGGTAAATTTGAAAATCTCGAAATATTACATCATTCTTCATTAATACATTTTATATGACATAATTTATTATAAAATAGCTATTTATTTAATGAAAATATACGTAGATTATATTATCATGCTTTCCATTTAGGTTGTAACGTAAGATTGGAGGTTATGTACTGTGTGTATTTTATTTAAGTAAACCTAAACAAAAATTTCGAAATATTGCGAATATTAGGAAATAAATCTTATTATGTACTGTTGTAAATTATTATTACGAATTATTAAGTAACATTTTTATGTATTTTACGAAAAAGACTGCGTTAATAAATTGATACGTCATGATATGTAAACTTTATTATAAAATGGAAAACACACGTTAGGGATATAAATATTAAATACGTAATAAACATTTCAAAGAAAATGAATAACGAATAGATAATATATTTAAAATATTCGTGCAGAATAACTTTTGTTGCACATCTAATAGTTATGTTGACAGTGAATGTTCTTTTAAACGTGATTCATCAATTTTATTCATTCTCGAAATCGTATTTATTTACAAGTGACGTATGAACTTTCATAATTGGTCAGAAAGTTAATGATATTGAAGTGACAATTGTTTTTAAAAGTTTTCAATTTTACATCTGTTAATACTTTCATACCATTTTTCTTAAAAATTTTTGTCTTTTTTTTCTTTTTGTACTGCTTTTTTGTATGTGGCAAAACGTACTTGAAAAGTGTTTGAATTAAATTCATGTAAATTATTCATTTAGTACCCGTAAAAACATAAACAGTCAAAAAATTATACGTATAACTAAATATATCATAGGTTATAGGTTATCAAAACTTTTATCATATTTTGTATTTCTGTGCTCTTGTTCGATTTCTACTCAGTTAATGTTTCCCACACAAAGACAATGTTGTCCAAATTATTAATTACATATTAAGAACATTACAGGTAATATTTTATAAATAATATGTTTATCTCAATCTTTTATTGATTCATATTTATATATATAGCCATTTTCATAAAAAGAGATAAAGCATATATTTCATAAAAAGCATTTGTTACATCTTATCTATAAAAAGGAAAAGGAAAATAACGATTAACTTCTTATTAAATTGGGCAATGGCTCGTATTTTACAGTTTGCCTCCAGGAATTTGGTCAAGTATCCATTTCTTTCCAAGATGTCTACATCTGTATCAGTTGACGAACGTATGTTAAAAGGAATAAGAAGAATAATTCCAAATTTGAATAATACCAAGTATAAAGGCCAAGATGGTCGAATTGGGATATTTGGTGGTAGTACTGAATATACTGGTGCACCATATTATGCAGCTATGAGCGCACTCCGCACTGGATGTGACCTAGTGCATATATTTTGTGTGAAAGAAGCAAGTGTACCATTGAAATCGTTCAGCCCAGAACCTATTGTTCATCCAGTTTTAGACCAGTATGACGCAATCAAGCAAATAAGACCATGGCTTGATCGTCTACATGTGATTGTGATTGGACCAGGCCTTGGTAGAGACGATAAGATATTTAAAACCATTGTTGAATTAATTTCAATTTGTCGTGATATGAAAAAGCCGTTAGTGATTGATGCAGATGGATTATTTTTAATTAACCAGAAACCTGATATTATAAAAGAATATCCAGGTGTGGTTCTTACTCCAAATGCAATGGAATTCAGTCGTCTTGTGAAAGCAGTATTTGACAAAAATGTTCCACCAACGCCAATGGTTAAAGCCAATGATGTTAAGCATTTAGCAGATGCATTTGGGAAAAATGTAGTGATTTTGCACAAAGGAGCTAAAGATGTAATTGCAGATGGGCACAAAGGTACAGAAGCTGTATCGTGTGGATTAGCCGGTTCTGGAAGAAGATGCGGAGGTCAAGGGGACTTGCTAAGTGGAGCGTTAGCTGTATTTTGGTGGTGGGCTATCTGTGCAGGAAGTAGTGAAAGTGCTTTGTCACCTCCTATAGCTGCATGTTACGCTGCATCTAGATTAGTGAGAGAATGCAATGCATCTGCATATAAGATAAAGCAAAGAGGAATGTTAACATGTGATATTCTGGAGCAAATACAACCTGTCTTTGCCAGAATTTTCGAAACTCATTGCAACAAGTGAGCTGCTCAGCCAAAAAATGGCTGTAATTCTGATGTGAAATATTTTTATAGAGAATGTGTAAAATTAACACATTCTCTATACATTTTAAAATTAATTTTACACATAAGATGTTTATGTATATATTGGATAGATTAGTGAAGAATAGCCGATAATTATATTGATATTGATTATAGAACATCATCATTCAATGGGAGAAGTCGAACACGAAGCACTGATTCCTGAGTTATATCTATAATAATCTTATTTTTTCATTGTACCAACGTTTAATAAAAATTTGAAACATTTCTGAACATATTAAATTATGGAACGATAAAATTATATCGTGGTTGTAACATTAAAAAGGAAAACTATAAATTCAGGAATTTAAAAATTACAATAAGTCTACTATAACTAATGATAGATTTTTTTTTAATGTCATTGAATGCTTTATAAAATAAATAAAATATTTTGTAAGTTTTCATAGACTTAATTTACTAATTCTCTTTCTCTTTTGTTTGAATTATCTTCATATTTACAAATGGTGCATTTTAGTAGTGTCTTGCTATGAGAACTTTCTACAGAGAAGTAATTAAATTTATGTTTACAAAATAAGTAGTCAGTTTAATTTAAGAATTAAAGATTGAGATACAATAACAATTTCTTAAGTACTGAAAATTATTTACATTATATTACTACGAATTAATTATTGTATATTAAAGTAAAATAATGTAAATAATTTATAAATCGCAGACATTAACCAATTAATCAAATTTTTAATTTAAAACAATTTACAATTAAATTTCCTTCATGTGTGACTAAAAAACAAAAAGAATATTTCTTCGTCGACCATCAGTAATAATAATAATTAAGTACTTCTATTCGCAATAAAAAATACTTTTATTTACTTTTATCTATAATAAACGATTGATATTTTAAGTGCTTATTAAGTTCCTAGAATTTCAATAATAAAATCCCCTTAAGTACAGAGTTCTGTAAAGAGAAAATAGATTACTGATGAGAGAGGTAAGAAATATCTCTTCGTTGCCTCAGTTTAATACTATACATTTAGATCAGTTAGAAAAACGTTAACATATTAAATATATCGTATTATTATTAAATTATTTGATTATAGGTCATTCGAGAAGTCCGTCGTATTTAATCAAAAATTAAATTCTACTCTTCTCTCTCTATTGTACTATATACTTCATCAATAACGTACCTTGCTCAGAATTATGCCTATTGTATTAACTCATATAAAAATCAATTTGCTGCTAACTAAATAAAAGATTTCTACTCTTGAAGGCGCGATATCTCACAAAAACAGTTGCACTGTAGATATTTTCCTTTTTTTCTTTTCGTTAGCATGCCCTAAAGTCCTACAAATATCAAAGTTACGGAACCATCGTTCATTGACAGCCCCCGTTTTATACTGTTGTCTTTCATTTCTACGCTAAAAAATAATCTCGTCAGTAAGTAACCACCGGACTCGACGTATCATGAATACTGTATAAAAACGAAAACAGATCGCCGTATCTACACAATTTTTGGCATGAATATACCGAATACTGTCTGTCCGCATCGGAAGATGTCTTTGCTGATTATACAGACGTTCTCGCGATGCGTTCAACGAAAATTATTCATCTAAGCCCTAAAGTTATCGTCATCGTTCAAAGTCAATGAACTACGAGTAAAACGTTAAGACCGAAGTGTGGTTCCCACGTATCAAAAGCGTCGGCGGCATGTCTTTGGTTAAAGCTTCCAACCAGGCCATGTAAAGCGGGGCTGAGACCGCTCCCTTCCTCGGCATTGGCAACGACCTGCGATTTATAACAGATAATTTTGCAAGGAGTCACATTCGTTTATTCGCATACGTTTAGGTCAGATCGCCCGTTTATATTCACGTACATCACAACCAACGTGGATTGATTGGAGTTTTCTAATAACAGTTCTCGCAGTCTGAGCTGCCGGTACGTCTTATCTTTCAAAGACTGAAGTTCAAGTTCTGTCACGCAGCATTCTACAACGAGATATTGCAATTATCACTTCAATTAATCTTAATTAATGATTATTTGAATGAATCGTGCTTTCGTATTATACATCACGTAATACGATCTTTTTTTCTTTTTTTTTTTTTTTTTTTTTTTTTTAATCAAGCACGTACCTGTGTCAGCAGGCTCGTTTTTCCGGAAATCAGATATAAGTTTATCGAAGAAGTCCAGCGTCTCTTGCTTCGGCTGAACGCTTATATCGTCTACCATTTTCAGACTGGTATATCGTATTCTGAATTTTGCCATTATCTCGGCCATTCTGGAAATTGTTAATGTATGTAGTTGATTGATCGCGCGAATTATTTTTAATTAAAGGTATTTTCAAGCATGGAATTTGACATTGAAGATACTGAAATAAAAGGAAGATTTGTTGAACCTAAGCCTCTGTCTAAATTCACATGTCTCGATTAGAAATTATATATATATATGGATGATAAATTATTTATTTAAAGCCTGAAATCAATTGTACTGCGTTTTGGATACTTCACTTACTCTTTCTCTTGAGCCACTATGTCTTGCTTGTGATTGGCCAACGCGAAAATTCGCATCTTACAATGCTCCCAATTCGAGCGTGTGCTGATAATATATGGAAGAAGGATCGTCAGACCTGTTGAAGAGAAATATCTGCCACTTAAAAATGAGTACATCCTTCTCAATTAAATAATCGTTAGGTCATGGATTTTTGTGGATTTGTGGAAAATTGAAAGTTTCGAAAATACGCATTGCAATGCACATTGGGGGATTAAATAATCACCAGACTGTGAATATTTTGGATATTGATAGAAAATTTGAAGTTGCGAAAATACGCACAACGTAAAATATCCAAAGTAGAACGTTTGCTATAATGTACAGCAAATAAAACAATTTTTCTTATTTAGTTCTCTTGTTCTTTTTTCAATGACGCTCGTGAGAATTTAAAAATGTATGAAAATTCGCAGTCTTTTAAAACGAATAACGCGATTCATCAATGGTTGTTAGCATCAGATACGAAAAGATGTAAAAATAAAATTTCAACAGACAAACGTAGTATATATTTTCAATGCGATTGTGAAATTTTTAGTGACAGCTCTTTAAACATTGATATGTTAAGCAAATATT